CTGCACTTCAACGCGCCGCCGCGCCGGCAGTTCCTGGAGCTGCGCAGCTCGGCCCCGGACCTGGAAGAGGCCAGAGCCCCTCTCGTCGCGGACAAAAAACACGACGGGCGTTTTTTTTTCCCACATCCAAAGTGGGGTTCTTGTTTTCTCTGGACACCCCGCGCAGGAACAGGAACACACACACACACACCCACTCACACTCACTCACACTCTCTCATCATCAACCTCATCAGCATCATCGATGATGCTCTCTCACATGCTTAGTCACTCACATACTCATCATCATCATCACTCGCACTCTCTCACACGCTCACGAACATCATCATCATCATCATCGGCATCGGCATCATCCTCATTCAAACATCATCATCGCCACCACCACTCACAATCAATCATCATCCTCTTCACCACTCATCTTCACCACCACTCATCATCCTCATCCTCATCATCGTTGAGTAAATTGTGAGGAAGTCTCAGGCGGGAGCCCCCTCCCTATGGGGCCCGCAGATCATGTTGGTAATCCGAGCGGGTCATCGGAACCCTGTAACTGTCGTCACTTTTGGGCTCCCCAGGCCTGAAAATGAAGGAAGTCTCAGGCGGGAGCCTCGTCTGTGAGTGAATTGGGAGGAAGTCTCAGGCGGGAGCTCCCTCCCTATGGGGCCCGCAGATCATGTTGGTAATCCGAGCGGGTCATCGCAGAGAGCAGAGCAGAGCGGCCCGTGGGGGAGGCGGGAAATTCCGCCTGCCCCGGCAAGGCGCCGGGCCGACATTACCGGCGAATCGTGGAAAATATCGTAACGTGTGAAAATGTGACAAATACCACGGCGCGGCGTGACAGACATCGAGCGTCAGGCGCCCGGCTGAGTGCGTGTATGGTCAGCAGCAGCAACGGCAGGAAGAAGGAAGCAAACGGCAGGAGGACGCGGGGGGAGGCGACGAACGAGAACGGGAAGCAGACCGAGCAGAGAGCAGCGCGGAGGAGGAGGCAGGAAAGCGAGCGAGAGAGAGGCAGCAGAGCAGGAGGACGGCGAACGGACGGACGGCGGAGGGGGGCAGCGGCAGCACAGCAGCAACAGCAGCAGCAGCAGGGGAACGGGAGAACAAGAAATTAAAACAATTATACGTCTGTCCACCTCTTCCGCGGGCGGCCTACGCTTCTCCTTGCGTTCACTCGAAACCAAGGTACCCAATTAACAAGTCTCGCACTCCATCTGCGGTCGGTGGGCGAGGACAGCTTGCCTGCTAATGTCCATTTCTGTTTCCAGAACATAGACACCCAATCGTCCACGCCGCTTCGCTCAGAAATCTGCATACTGGCGCGGGTGGCACGCCGGATGTACTCGACCCAGTCTTCGTCAGGTAGCCGTCCAATGCCCACCATCTGTCTCAGCATCCGGCGCTGCGTGGATCGAAGCTTTCGCTCCTCGGCAGCTGTGAGCGTCCAGGTGCTGGAGGCGTACAGTACGCAGGGCACCACGCACGCTGTGAACAGTCTCAGACGCTGGTGGATCTGGAGGCGCTTGTTACACAAGAAATCCTTCAAGGCGTGGAACGCAGCCCATCCGGAAGCGAGCCGATTGCCGAATTCTGTTCCATGGACGTCATCCAGAGAAACTTTCTTGCCAAGATACTTCTCTGACCCGCCGTGCTGGAGCACTCTCACGTTGTGCGCGCCGCACTTTACATGTGGCGGTCGGTCAGATGCATTGGTCAATACCACTGTCTTGCCCATATGGACCTTCAGGCCGTATTTTTTGGCCTCAGACTCTAGATCTGCGATCATTCTGGAGACGTCCCTTTTGCATCCAGAGCGGGTCATCGGAACCCTGTAACTGTCGTCACTTTTGGGCTCCTCAAGCCTGAATTTGGAGGAAGTCTCAGGCGGGAGCCTCGTCTGTCGTCACTTTTGGGCTCCTCAAGCCCTCAGGCGGGAAGTGGAGGAAGGCTCAGGCGGGAGCCCCCTCCCTATGGGGCCCGCAGATCATGTTGGTAATCCGAGCGGGTCATCGGAACCTGTAACTGTCGTCACTTTTGGGCTCGTCAAGCCTGAATTTGGAGGAAGTCTCAGGCGGGAGCCTCGTCTCTGAGTGAATTGTGAGGAAGTCTCAGGCGGGAGCCCCCTCCCTATGGGGCCGCAGATCATGTTGGTAATCCGAGCGGGTCATCGGAACCCTGTAACTGTCGTCACTTTTGGGCTCCTCAAGCCTGAATATGGAGGAAGTCTCAGGCGGGAGCCTCGTCTGTGAGTGAACTGCGAGGAAGTCTCAGGCGGGAGCCCCCTCCCTATGGGGCCCGCAGATCATGTTGGTAATCCGAGCGGGTCATCCAAAACCTGTAACTGTCGTCAATTGTTGGGTTCTCGCGCTGCCAGAACGCAGCTCCCAGGCCACATTTTGGATGCAACAAGGAAGTTTTTGGGCTCCTCAGGTCGCCGAGGTGCTGCGACAGGGCGCCGAAGGCGCCGACGACGACGGCCAGGCCGAGGCGCGGGCGCGGAGCTTGCTGATGTTCAGGCCCAGCGAAAGGGAGTTCACATGGCAGAGCTCGGGGGCGCACAGCGTGCGCCGCTCGGGGTTCACCCTGACGCACGCGTCCTACCTGACCTCCACGCTGTCGCAGGGCCAGACGCTGCGCAAGGGCGTCACCATCGACTGCGCGAGAGACGAGGACGCTGGCCGCACGGGCATGTCGGACGAGCAGTGGTGGCTGCACCTCTACGTCATGTTCTCCCGCGCCACGTGCATGCGGAACATGCTGATCCTGCGGCCGCCGCCGCGAGAGTTCCTGGAGTGCGGGCCGCCGGCGTCCCTGCGGAAGGCGCTCCTGGAGTTCGACAAGAGAGCGGTTTTGTCCAGGGCGGAGGCGAAGCAGCTCGCGGCAGAGCTGGGCTTCGTGCTGCCTTCCGCCTGAGCGCGGCTGCGCCTCGCTCGAAGCCCGCGGGGTTGTCCCAACGGCTTGGTCTTGCGCGCCAGCGGCTCGCGGGGTTGCCCCGACAGCCTGGCCCGCGGGGTTGTCCCAACGGCTGCGCGACGTGACCAGTAGAGAACGCGCCTGTGCTGGCCGTGGCGGCGACGGCGCCGAGGAACATCGACATGCGCGCTCATGCAACAGGAAGGGGAGGAGGTGGCGGGGCGCGGAACAAACAGGGGGGCGAGGATGGGGACAACGTAAGGAGTGGAAGGGGGGCCCGCGCCAAGGCGAGAGGAAATATACGCAGAAGAGACAGCCAGGACGCCTCGCCAACCACGAGGACGACGGTGATGGTTTTTTCCAGATTCGCCCAAAGGATTCTTATGCGGGGTCCTTCCGTCGGAGTATATATATATATATATATATATATATATTGGCGTTGGGGGGAGTTGTCTGGGGATTCTGGCAAGTTTACTCGCATGAAGGGGAGGGGGGGCGTGGCGAGGCCCGAAAGGAAACCCTTCGCGCTTCGCGCGCCCCCAAAAAGTCCAGTATCACCTAAAAGGGATGCGCGATACGTGAATCCTTTCCCTTCATCCTAGACAGGAAGGCCTGGAGGCACCTAGGGTACTGCTTAGACGTGGAAGTCTGAATCGATGCCAGTAAACTTGTGTACAACCTCACGTGGGCGGCCCTGGTCTGGTTCCTCGGACTGGGCACACCATGGCACGACAAGCAGTTAGGCGTCACCTATGAATCGCTCCCCCCACTGCCCCACATGGTCGGGAACAATCGCCGCCCCAAGCCCTCAAGCCGTTGCACCCCCCGGGGCACGCTCCCCCAGTTCCCCGCGGCCTGGAGCAGCATTACCTGCCGGTGTAAACGCCGCAGGATGCACCCGGGCATGGAGCATCTGCACTCCCTGCTCAGCCCCGATACGATCGATACAGATCTCACCCATGCCCTACGAGGAGGCGACGGGCAGCCCCTCAGTCCCCCCACGCTCAGAGTCCTACCGGTGGTGATGATGCTGCAGCTGCGTGAGCCTCGTGCTACACTCTGGCCCTTCCCATTCCCAGAAGCCACGGGCGACGTCATAGAAACTGCGATGGGTATGTGCCTTCCGCGGCAGGAGGCCCACAAAGAGTTCCGCGCCCAGTTCGCTGAGACGTGGGGATTCCAGCTCGCGGACTTCGCCTCCCTCCGCACCAAGTTAGGGCAGGTCATTCACCACAGCACGTTGGCCACATACGCTCATCACCACGAGGTTGCATCTGAGCACGAGTGCCCCAGGACATGGGCGGGAATGCAGGAGCATGACTTCGCCCTCGAGGCGCCCCCTTACGCGTACTGGAGGCAATAGTCCAGCCTGCGAACGTCAAGCAGCTAAGCACTGGACAGTGCTCCATCTGCCAGCTGCACAAGGCCTTGGCGGGATCAGACGTGGGGCTTGGCAGTCCGCACGCCACGGAGGGCCTGCAGTACATAGGGGGCGGGGTTGCAATTTCCAACCACCGTCTCGACGAGGACATCCCAGCCTCCCCGGCCCCAGGAACAACACTGTCCCCCCCGATCGTTCGAGGCGACCGCTTCTGCATGCTGCAGAAGGACGCCACCTACAACTGCGACGGATGCACCAACACAGGACTGCATGGAGCAGCAGGTACTTGGGAGGACGACGACACCCGGAAACTCCTAGCCCAGAGCCGAGCTCAGGCGCACACGGAGGGCAAGAACTGCAGGTGGCTCTGCGAGCAATGCTGGGTCAGCCCCCTGGAAAGCAAGGGCATGCACGCCCCCGTGCCCAGCGCAACCGAACGCAGCACCAAGAAGTCCATGCAGTGGCTACTACAGGAGTACAAGCGCAGAGTGGACGACGACCGTGCACGCAAGAGAGCCAGGACTCTCCCCTCACTGTCCAGACTACCGCTGGGGTTCGGGCAGCCTACTGACGCCCCAGCCCCAACCTCTCTGAATAACCTCGTCATGCGCACGCCGCGCCAGTTCCAACCAGCCAGCGCAGGCACGACACTCCCACCGCACAGGCTCACCGACGGCAGGTTCGGCACCGAAGTACACCTCACCCAACTGTACTCGGCCTCTTGTGACACCTGTCCCCCTTGTTCCCCCTTGCTAGAGTGGTCGCCAGGCTCACCAGC